AAAAAAAAAACCAAATTGCACATGCCATTAGTCTCTAACAAAAAGACCTTACACAAAAATATCGACACGGGCCTTGGCCGGGCCGGACCATGGGATATATGAAGTCGACTAATCGCACGAGGACACGTGTACCGATAGATGGATATATATGTAGACAACAAACATACCTGGAAGTTGCCATGGCTCACAAACATGAAGATCAATCTCCACCAAAGTGCCCCTCACAGCTTCCTCATTAGCAATCTTTTTGTACAGATAATGGCAAATCAATTCTTCATCACTAGGGTAAAACCTGAAACCTGGTGGCAGACTTTCTCCAATATCTCTCAAACCCATTTTTTTTATTTTTTTTTTAATATCAAAGATTTAAATTTTTTATTAGATTTTCTTTTTATTATTTCTAGAAATTTTTCTTTTAAATTTTGGTTTTAGTTTTTTTGTTTGGGTGAAATGGGGTGCTTATATATATATAATGAGAGAGAGAGAGAGAGAGAGAGAGAGAGAGAGAGAGAGAGAGAGAGAGAGATGATTTGAAAAGTACCTAGTCCAAATTGAAATTATCTTTATTCTGAATAAAGGTAGTGAAGTTAGTTATGGCTACATACAAATTTTAGATGTATTGCAAAATATAATAATAATAATAAGGGGTAAAAATATAATATATGTAAGGGAACTTTCAAGGGAATTTAAAAGAACCAAAGTAACAAGGAATCTTCTTTATGTGGGCAGTGGGCACTAAAGGGGTGGCAATAAATAGGAGTAAAATCCAAAATTCTTGAACTAGATAAAACCTCCAAAATGCTACTTTTAATTATAAATTTTTATATTATCTATTTTAATTAAATGTATATGTCTTGTTTTATTATGGAAAAAATGCAAAAAATGTATACATTAATATTGGTTGTTTTCCATTTTTATCCACTAACTAGTTTTATTATGGAAAAAATGCAAAAAATGTATACATTAATATTGGTTGTTTTCCATTTTTATCCACTAACTATTAAAGATTGCAGATTAGTATAATATATATTTTTTTTATCGATTTTATCTTATTAATTATTTAGAGTTTCAATTTGTCAATTAATTTTTAGTTTTATAAATATGTATACCTTACCCATAGGTAACTAAATAAATAAAAGAAAGAACTTCGACCATTTCTCGATTTATGCGTGTCATCCTTGCGCAGGGGTCATGTTAATCTTCTCTGTATCGTTCCAATTTTATCGGATGTCCTCGATGATTTTTGCTCTCTCTCGGGCCTGCACGTGAGTGCCAAGAAGACCCTAGTCTTCTTCTCGAAGAATGTCCTGGCTCCGGAACAATCGAGGCTGGCAGCGGTACTGAACTTCAAGTTGACAAATAACCTAGGGAAATATCTCGGAATGCCAATTCTTCATGATCGAATGACCAAATCAACGTACAACCACCTGTTGGAAAAAAAACGGAATCACGACTAGCTGGGTGGCGTACGAAATTCTTATCTTTAGCTGGGCGTGTAACTCTTACGAACTCCGCCGTAAGCACGCTCCCTTATTACTCGATGCAATCCACGTTGCTTCCCAAGGCTATTACCGAAGGACTAGAGCGGAAAAGTCGAGCCTTTGTGTGGGGCGGCTCAAATGAGCGGCGAAAAGTACACTTAATACCGTGGAAAGAAGTGTGTAAGCACAAAAATGAGGGTGGGTTGGGTGTCAAAGATCTCCACCGTATGAACAATGTTTTGCTAATGAAAGTTGTTGGGGACTCTTTTCGACACGGACTCCCTTTGGGTCCGGGTACTTTCGGCTAAGTATGGCTTGGATTTACTAACGACTAGAGAGCTGAAACATAGGCGTATGGGCTCCAATTTAATTCGAGCCCTGAGCACCGTGTGGCCACATATCGTCAAATGTCTACGATGGGTGCTGGGCAACGGCAGGAAAGTGCGATTTTGGCTCGACGATTGGCTTGCTGGTAGTGGTCCGCTTATTAGATTTGTTAACACCCAAGTGCACTTGGTGAATGTTCATGATACGGTTACGAATTTAGTCGGTGAAGACAGAGGGTGGAGGTGGGATAGTTTGCATGGCATTCTCCCCTCATCCGTCATTCTCCGTATCGCTGGTACACTACCGCCACGTGTGGAGGCGGGAGAAGACCGCATTATTTGGGGTCCTTCCACTAATGGCAGATTCTCTACCCGTACTGCATATCAAATTCTATCGGCGGCGGAACAAACCCAGGACCTAATGGAGATATGGGCTCTCACAATACCAGCCCACATTACAATGTTCCAGGCCCATGTGAAAGCCCACATGCACGTACACATGCATGCTCACATGCACAAGGACGAGTTTGTTAGGCTTATTTGTCTCCTAGCTAATATAGCCGTTCCATCTGATTACTTGTACAGTATGCCACCTACCATCTATTCTAGAATGGTCCTTAGTCTTGTATATATATTCTCAGCACTGTAGCAATCATTATCAATCAAGAAATCAATGAAAATGTTTGAGAGAATTCTGTTCTCATTTTTCTTTGTTTTTATGTTTACTTGTTTTTCTATCATGGTATCAGAGCGGGTTTCGACCTGGCTCTGATCCATCTCTAAAAATCCCTCTGTTTTCTTTTCCTTTTTAAATCTCATTCATCATGTCTTCTACAATAGATCCAAGCCATAACTCCCAGATCCAAATCATCCATCCCCAAAATCAGCTCATAGCTACCAAACTAACAGAAAACAATTACCTTATATGGAAACAGCAGTTGCTCACAGCTATCAGAGGGTATGGACTCGAAGGTTTTATCAACGGCAACAAGAAGCCACCACCGGAGTTCACAGAAAGCACAAATGATGAAGGAAACAGTCTTTCAACTCCCAGCTTGGAGTATGATGCTTGGTTGAGACAAGACCAGCTCTTGGCTTCATGGATCTTGTCCTCACTATCTGAGAATCTTCTAGGGCTGATGGTTGGCTTGAGCAGTTCAAAGGAGATGTGGGAAGCCCTAGCCCTTAACTTTGCCAGCCAGTCACAAGCAAGAAGGATGCAACACAAGTTGGAGCTTCAGAACCTCAAAAAGGGTTCTATGTCAATGAGAGATTTTCTCACAAAGGTAAAATCTTGTTGTGATGTCTTGGCTTCTATTGGTGAAAGGATCTCTGAGGAGGATCAAATGCTCTATATCTTTTCTGGGTTAGGACAAGAATATAACCCTGTCATTGTCTCCCTAACCTCAAGATTAGAGCCAGTGTCTATTAGAGATGTCCATGCCATGTTGTTGAGCTATGAAGGTAGATTGGAGGCCATAAATCCAAGTGTTATCAACAATGATGGATCAGGGCCAAGTGCAAATCTCAGCACTCATTCAGGGGGAAGGAGCCAAAGTTTCTCTTCTGAAGGCTTTGGCAGAGGACAATCAAATGGAAGAGGAAGAGGTAGAAATACCTTTAGAGGTGGATACAAGGGCAGAGGTGGCAGGAATTTTTCTGGAGGAAGATCAAGTTTTCAGTGCCAAGTCTGTCACAAACAAGGACACACTGCAGACAGGTGCTACCATCGATTTGATGCAAGTTACAATGCCTATGTCCCTCAAGGAAATCAAAGCAGCAACACTCAAGCAAACTTTGCAGGGAGCACTCCTTATCCCAACAGTATTGCTAGTAATGATGTTCCACAGGAGACATGTTGGTTCCCAGATTCAGGTGCTACTAATCATGTAACCAATGACCTAAGCAACCTGAGCATTGCAAGTGACTATCAAGGGCAGAACAGGCTACATGTTGGTAATGGTAAAGGTCTTAAAATTTCTCATATTGGCAAATCAACTATTAACTTTTTATCATCATTGCATTCTCCAAAAAGAAACTTTGTCCTCAGAAATCTTTTGCATGTCCCTGAGATAACCAAAAATTTGCTAAGTGTGTCTCACTTTGCCCAAGATAATGGAGTGTTTTTTGAGTTCCATCCTATGTTTTGTCTTGTGAAGGACCTAGCCACAGGAGTGATTCTTCTCAGAGGGAAGCTTAAGGATGGGCTATACTATTTTCATTTCCCAAAAGCAGCTAGTGTTCAAGAAGACAAGTTCCCAGCAAAAGACTCTCTCCAAAATAATTTTCCTTTTTCTGTTAATTCAGTTAGTTTTAAGAAAGACAGTTTGGATGTTTGGCATTTTAGGCTGGGTCATGCAGCTCTTGAAATTGTTAGGAAAGCCTTGGACCATTGTAATGTTCCCTTCCTTCCAAATGAAATGAAAGGTTTATGTGATGCTTGTTTGAAATCTAAGAGCAAATGTTTGCCTTTTACAGTTTCTCAAAGTCTTTATTCAGAACCACTCACTTTGATTCACAGTGACCTCTGGGGTCCATCTCCAATTCCTTCTAACAATGGTCACAGATATTATGTTAGTTTTATTGATCATGCCACCAAATATACTTGGATATATTTCTTGAAAAACAAAAGTGACACCCTCTCAGCCTTCATACACTTCAAGTCTCTTGTTGAAAATCAACTCAATAAGAAAATAAAAATGATTCAAATAGATAGAGGGGGTGAATTTAAAGCCATGACAGGTTTCCTTGAGCAAAATGGAATAGGGCATAGATATTCCTGCCCATACACCCCTCAGCAAAATAGGGTAGCTGAGAGGAAACATAGGCATATAGTGGAAGTTGGTCTATCTCTTCTTGCCCACAGCAATGTTCCACAGAGGTTTTGGGATGACTCTTTTTCTTCTGCTGTTTACATCATAAATAGAACTCCCTCAAAACAACTCTCATACAAGAGTCCTTTGGAGTCTTGTTACAACCAGAAGCCCAACTATGCCAACCTGAAAGTTTTTGGATGCCTTTGTTATCCTCACCTCAGACACCTTAACAAAAACAAACTTGAGTACAGATCTATGCCTAGCACCTTTATAGGATATAGTTCTCAGCATAAAGGATACAAGGTCCTTCTCTCATCAGGGAAAGTCATAGTGACCAGACATATTGTGTTTGATGAAAAATCATTTCCTTTCTCAAACATGACTCAAACTGAACCAAAGGATAAGTCCTCTTGTACCACTTTGTCAGCTCATTCACTTGTCACATTGCCTAAACCTTCATTCAAAAACAACACTATAGATCCCATCTCACCTCAAACAGGTCCTTCAATGGCATCCACACCAAGATCACACACTCCTAACTCTTCTTCTTCTTCTCATGAAACAGTTTCAATACATTCACCACATGAGTTATTTGTTGATTTGCCTTGTGAGAACTTTTTACCTGCACCATCTGTACCACCCATTCATGATACAGGTACTCATCAAATGGTGACAAGATCCAAGGCAGGGATATACAAGCCAAAACTTTATCA